AGCTTGTTCAAATAAATAATAGCTGAGAACTTCCCAAACCTGGAGAAGGAACTGGACATACAAGTACATGAAACCAATAGAACTCCTAATTACATCAATGCAAAAAGACCTTCTCCAAGACATATAATATTAAAATTGTCAAAAGTAAATGACAAAGAAAAAATATTAAGGGCAGCAAGAGAGAAGGAAATAACCTACAAAGGAACCCCTATCAGGCTTTCAGTGAATTTCTCAGTAGAAACCTTACAGGCTAGGAGAGAATGGAATGAAATATTCAAAATACTGAAGGACAAAAACTGTCAGCCAAGAACACTCTATCCGGCAAAATTATCCTTCAGATATGACAGAGAAATAAAAACTTTACCAGATAAACAAAAGCTGAAGGAGTTCACTGCCACTAGACACGCTTTACAAGAAGTGATGAAAGAAGCCCTCCTACCTGAAACAAAAAGGCAAAGGTTTACAAAGCCTTGAGCAAGGAGATTAATAGACAAAATCAGGAAATTGCAGCTCTCTATCAAAATAGCCTAGCAAACAATTAATTATAACAGAAATGATGAAGGCAAAGAAAGCATCAAAAATATCTATAAACACTTCAATTTAGTCACAAACTCACAACACAAAAAAGAATATTTTGTGACAACAAAAACATGGAAGGGGAAGAGAAAATGGATGGAACCTGCTTAGGCTAATGGAGATAAGAGGCTACCAGAAAATGGACTATCTCATCTATGATATCTTTTATACAAACCTCACGGTAACCACTAAACAAAATAACAGAGCAGAGCCGCAAATCATAAATAAAGAGAAAACTGAGAAAATCATCACAGAAAACCACCAAACTGAAAGAGCAGTCAGAAATACAAGGGAAAAGAACCAATGGGAATATATTTTAAAAAAGAAAACAAGAGATAAAATGGCAGTATTAAGCCTTCATATATGAATAATCACTCTAAATATAAATTGATTGAATTTTCCAATCAAAAGACACAAAGGGGCAGGATGGATTAAAAAACAGGACCCAACAGTATGCTGCCTCCAAGAAACATATGTTAGTTCTACATACAAACAGGCTCAGAGCGAAGGGATGGAAGATGATACTCCAAACAACAAGCAAAAGAAAGCCGATGTAGCCATACTTATATCAGACAAAGCAGACTTCAAGATAAAAAAGATAATGAGAGACAAAGAAGGGCATTATATAATGATGAAAGACACATTCCACTAAGAAGACATAACACTTATTAATATATACTCCCTTAAAACAGGAACATGAAGTTATATAAAGCAACTATTAGCGGACCTAAAGGGAGAAATTGAAAACAACACAATAATAATAGGGGACCTCAACACCCCAGTTACATCAATGGATAGATCATCCAGACAGAAAGTCAACAAGGAAACAGTACCCTTAAATAAAACACTGGATCAAGTTGACTTAATAGATATTTATAGAGCATTCAATTCAAAAACAGCAGAATGAACATTCTTCTCAGGTGCATATGGAACATTCTCAAAGATAGACCATATATTGGGAAACAAGGCAAGACTTAATAAACTTAAGAAGGCTGAAATCACATCAAGCATCCTTTCTGAGCACAATGCTATGAAAATAGAAATCAACTACAAGAAAAAAACCTAGGAAAGTCACAAATATATAGAGACTAAACATGCTACTGAACAAATATGTGGACACTAAACATGCTAATTAACAACAATTGGATCAATGAAGAAATCAAAAAATATCTGGAGACAAATGAGAATGAAAATACACCATACTAACTCATAGGGGATGCAGCAAAAGTGGTAGTAAGGGAGAAATTTATAGCAGTAGAGGTCTACCTCAATCAACAAGAAAAATCTCAAAAAAGTAGTGCTAAACTACACCACACAGAACTAGAAAAAGAAGAACAAACAGGTGCTTGCTCCCTGACCTAGTGGTTAAGTTCAGCGTGCTCTGCTTCAGCGGCCTGCGTTTGGTTCCCAGGCACAAACATATACTACTGGTCTGTGGTCATGCTGTGGTGGTGATGCACATACAAAATAGAGGAAGATTGCCACAGGTGTCAGCTCAGGTCTACTCTTCGTCAAGCAAAAACAAGAAGATTGCCAACAGATGTTAGTTCATGGTGAATCTTCATCAGCAAAAAAAGAACAAACAAAGTCCAAAGACAGCAGAAGGAGGGAAACAAACAAACAAAAAAATTAGAGCAGAAATAAGTGAAATAGAGGCTAAAAAACCAGTGGAAAGGATCAATGAAACTAAGAGCTGGTTCTTTGAGAAGATAAACCAAATTGACAAACCCTTAGCCAGACTCACTAAGAGAAAAAGAGAGAAGGCTCAAATAAATAAAATCAGATATGAAAGAGGAGAAATTACAATAGATACCACAGAAATACAAGGGATTATAAGAGAATACTATGAAAAGCTATATACCAAGAAATTGGATAACCTAGAGTAAATGGATAAACTCTTAGACTCATACAACCTGCCAAAACTGAATTAAGAAGAAATAGAGAATTTAAATAGACCAATAACAAGAGATTGAAACAGCCTTCAAACATCTCCCAAAAAAACAAAAGTCCAGGACCAGATGGCTTCTCTGGAGAATTCTATCAAACTTCCAAAGAAGATTTAATACCTAGCCTTCTCAACTTATTCCAAAATATTAAAGAGGACTGGAATGCTTCCTAAGTCATTCTATGAGCCCAACATTATCCTGATACGAAAACGAAACAGGGACAACACAAAAAAGTAAAATGACAGGTCAATATCACTGATGAACATAGATGCAAAAATCCTCAACAAAATATTATCAAATCAAATACAGTAGATAAAAGGGATCATACACCTTGATCAAGTGGGATTTATTCCAGGAATACAAGCATGGACCAACATCTGCAAATCAATCAATGTGATACACTACATTAACAAAACAAGGAATAAAAATCACATGATCATCTCAATGGATGCAGAGTAAACATTTGGCAAAAACAAACAACCATTTACGATAAAAACTCTCAATAAATTAGGTACAGAAACAAAGCACCTCAACATAATAAAGGCCACATATGACAAACCCATAGTCAACATCATATTTAATGGTGAAAAACTGAAGGCCATTCCTCTGAGAATAGCAACAAGGCAAGAGTTACCACTCTCACCACTCCTATTCAACATAGTACTGGAAGTATTGGCCAGAGAAATTAGGCAAGAAAAAGAAATAACAGGCATCTAAAATGGAAAGAAAGACATAAAACTCTCACTGTTTGCAGATGACATGATTCTATATATAGGAAACCTAAAAGAATTCACCAGAAAACTATTAGAAATAATCAACAACTACAGCAAAGTTCTGGGTACAAATCAACATACAAAACTCAGTAGCATTTCTATACATTAATAATAAACTAGCAGAAAGAGAAGAATACAATCCCATTTACAATGGCAAAAAAAGAATAAAATATCTAGTAGTGGATTTAACAAAGGAGGTAAAAGACCTATACATTGAAAACTGTAAGACATTATTGAAAGAAATCGAAGAAGACATAAACAATGAAAAGATATTCCATGCTCATGGATTGGAAGAATAAACATGATTCAAATATCCATATTACCTAAAGAAACCTACAGGTTCAATGCAATATCAATCAGAACCTCAATGATGTTCTTCACGGAAATGAACCAAGAACACTAAAATTTATATGGAACAACAAAAGACCCTGAAAAGCCAAAGCAATTCTGAGAAAAAAGAACAAAGCTATAGGCATCACAATCCCTGACTTCAAAATATACTACAAAGCTATAGTAATCAAAACAGCATGGTATTGGCATAAAAACAGACACACAGATCAATGGACCAGAATTGAGAACCTAGAAATAAAACCACATATCTATGGACAGCTAATCTTCAACAAGGTAGCTAAGTACATACAACGGAGAAGGATAGTCTCTTCAATAAATGGTGTTGGGAAAACTGAACAGCCACATGTAAAAGAATGAAAGTAGAACATTTTCTTACACAATACACAAAAATTAACTCAAAATGGATTAAAAACTTGAATGCAAGACCTGAAACCATAAAACTCCTTGAAGAAAATATAGGCAGTACACTCTTTGACATCCGTCTTAGCAGTGTCTTTTCAAATACCCTGTCTACTCAGGCAAGGGAAACAAAAGAAAAAGTAAGCAAATGGAACTACATCAGACTAAAAAACTTCTGCAAGGGAAAGGAAACCATGAACAAAACGAAAAGACAATCCACCAACTGGGAGAAAGTGTTTGCAAATCATATATCCAACAAGGACTTAATTTCCAAAATACATAAACAACTCATAGAACTCAACAACAAAAACACAAATAAACCAATCAAAAAATGGGCAGATGGTATGAACAGACATTTTTCCAAGGAAGATATACAGATAGCCAACAGATACAGGAAAAGATGTTCAACTTCACTAATTATTAGGGAAATGCAAATCAAAACTACCATGAGATATCATCTTACACCTGTCAGAATGGCTATAATTACCAAGACAAAAAATAACAAATGTTGTAGAGGATGTGGAGAAAAGAAAGCCTTCATACTCTTCTGGTGGGAATGTAAACAGGTGCAGCCACTATGGAAAACAGTATGGAGATTTCTCAAAAAATTAAAACTAGAAATACCATATGATCCAGCTATCCGACTACTAGGTATTTATCCAAAGAACTTGAAATCAACAATTCAAAGAGATTCATGCACCTCTATGCTCGTTGCAGCATTATTCACAATAGCCAAGAAGTGGAAGCAACCTAAGTGCCCATCTACCAATAAACGGATAAAGAAGATGTGGTATATATATACAACAGAATACTACTCAGCCATAAAAATACAAAATTGTGCCATTTGCGACAACATGGATGGACCTTGAGGGTATGATGTTAAGTGAAATAAGCCACACAGAGAAAAATGAACACCATATGATTAGGAAGATAAATGCATGGATTAGGAGAACAGATTAGTGGTTCCCAGAGGAAAGGGGGTTGGGGGAAGACAAAAGGGACACATATGTATGGTGACAAAGAAAAACTAGATTGTTGGTGGTGAACATGATGCAGTCTATGCAGAAACTGATATATAATAATGTACACCTGAAATTACACAATGTTATAAGCCAATATAACCTCAATAAAATAATAAAACAATTTGAATTAATAACTCCTTTTAGGGGGCTGACCCAGTGGCATAGTGGTTAAGTTGGTGTGCTCTGCTTCAGAGGCCTGGGATTCTCAGGTTCCGATCCAGGGTGCCGACCTATTATGTTGCTTGTCAAGCCAGGGCGTGGCAGGTATCCCATTTATAAAGTAGAGAAGGATGGGCATGGATGTTAGCCCAGGGCTAATCTTCCTCACCAAAACAAAAACAAAAACAAAAAACAGCTCTGTTTAGGGGACAGCCCAGTGGCACAGTGGTTAGGTTCGTGTGCTCTGGTTCGGCAGCCCAGGGTTTGCAGTTTTGGATCCTGGGCACAGACCTATGCACTGCTCATCAAGCCAGGCTGTGGAGGCATCCACCATATAAAATAGAGGAAGACTGGCACAGATGTTAGCTCAGAGACGATCTTTGTCACCAAAAAAAAAAAGAAAAGCCCCTCTGTTTATGGACTTTTCTTTTGTGCCACGATGGAGTAAAAAGAACCAGATTTACTCTCCTATCTTAAGCAACTACAAATTCAGATAAATATATGAAACAATGGTATTCAAAGCGTGGACAACAGGTATCATGAGGATTGTGATTGATAAGAGAAGGAAACAAAAGAAATGAGACCTACAATTGTCTGCCTTTCTTCCTAGAGAGAGTTTCCAGGACACAGTGCAGAAGAGCCCAGCAGTCTCACTGAGTTGAAGGGAAAGAGTTGTGAACTGAACAGATAGAAGAGCTACAACTCTACAACTATAATACGTAACTATTACTGGTGCTTTGGGGAGAAAAATGAAAAAGAGGAAGTTTGGCAACAGATGTTAGCACAGGGTCAATCTTCCTCAAAAAAATAAATAATTAAAAAATAAATTAAAAAAAAGGACGATATGCAGAGTTAAAGAAATATATTAAAAGAGGCTGATAGAAGGATTGGCTAAATGAACAAATAGGCAGAGGTATTGCACAGAGCTTTCTATCTGTGCACTTCTTTTTCTCCAGAACAGTGTAGATGACCACAACGTGCACTTGGCTCCCTGAGGATGTCCCATCCTCATATTGGTTAAAACTAGGTTAGATATACAACAGCTTTACTGACAACATTAAAAAAAGGCTATCAAAGGAGGAAATGAAGTTTTTTCTTGATTATCTATAAGTGCATTCTGCTAATTTTGCAACATAATTTAGTCATTTTAAGCAGTCAACTTTCTGCTTTTTTACACAAGTTTCAAGATTATTCCCTTAATCATCAATTTTAATGTGCCATATGATAAGAAATATTTCGTTATTAATTTTAAAACTTCATTAGAAAAGACTACTTAGTAAAAATGCAATTACTTTACTAAATCCATGAATGTTCATTACCTGTTTTTAGAGCTCTGTTTCATTACTTCAGGTGGAGAATAATCAATATTTTACTTCCTGTGAAATACGTAGGTAATAATAGTAACAATCAGCCATTGTAATTTGGGAGTGAGAGGAATGCTGGCAGTTGCCCATTGGCATTCTGGGAGTGTGGAATTTGAATTGTAAGAGGACTTCATTCTCCTAAGCCATGTTCCATCTTTGCTCTTGTTCTCTCCCCAGAAGCTTCTTACTGCTCCCTTAACATCCTTGTTTCTCAAGGTGTAGATGAGAGGGTTGAGCATTGGAGTTATAAGTCCATAGGAAAGTGCAAGATGCTTGCCCTTCAATTTGGCTGAGTTGCTCTTGGGTGCCGTATATGCATAACCATTAATGGCTGAGCCATAGAACATAAAGACCACCAGCAGATGAGACCCACATGTGTTGAAAGCGTTCTTGCGACCCTCAGAAGATTGGATCCTAACTACAGCTCTGACAATGTTGATGTAAGGGAATAGAATCAATCCAATTGGGATCACTTTTATGACTACCACTGCTGCATACATCTCCACTTCATTGATCCATGTATCAACATACGGTAATTCAAGCATGGCAGGTACCTCACAGAAGAAATTCTCCACCTGATATTGACCACAACGAGGCAACAGGAGAGTCGACACTGTTTGCACCAAAGAGTTTTTGAAACCTGTTACCAAGCCCACTGCTTCCAGCTGATGGCATAGCCAAAAATGCGTGGTAACTGTGTAATGGAGAGGCTGGCAGATAGCTACATAGCGATCAAAGGCCATTACTGAGAGAAGTACACATTGAGTGGATCCCAAACCAAGGAAGATTAAAAGTTGAGCTATGTATCCTATGTAGCTGATGTTTCTCTGGTGGCTCCTTACATTTACCAGCATCTGGGGCACAATGGAGGTAGTAGAGCAGAGGGCCAAAAAAGAGAGATTAGCCAAAAAGAAATACATGGGGGTGTGGAGTCTGGGATCAAAGCATGACAAGCTAATGATGGCTGAATTCCCAAGGAGGGTCATGATGTAGAAGATGGAGATGACCACAAAAAGAACTATTTCTAGTCTGGGCCATTCACAAAAGCCCACCAAAACAAAGCCATTGAGGTGACTAAAGGTATTATTGAATCTTCTCATTGTTGTGACACTACTTGCAGGGAACAGCGCAGAGAGAATTGTGGGAGCCCGATTATCCCATGCGTAGAACTTATTCTGTTTCAGGCACCTGCATGCAACCCAGGAACTGGATAGGGGATGCTGAACCAAAATCATTAATATATTTCCTTTTATTACCTCAGCAATAAAAGTGCGAATTAACAACCATGTATACCTATTTTAACAAGCATGTTTCAATTCATGGCTTTCATTTAGTAAACTCATAGTTTAAGAAGTAGAGATCATAACAGTAAAGATAGGAAAGAGGTATTGGAATATATTTGTTACAAAAAGAAACTGTTGGATCTAAGATTGAGAGAAACTGAAACTTCACTGATGCATCATTAAATCTCTAATTTACTCATGTGTTCTAACTTCATTCCCTTCAATTCAATTCATTTTCTTGCTGCTTTTTAATGTGTTTCTATTATAGAAGATGAAAAAGACCACCTTTGAAAGGCACTACCAGTTAAAGAAGGTAAATTCTTCTTTCTGCTTACTGTATTTCTCCTTTCTGCTTCTTGTAATTATGTTAATATGAGTAAAACTCCAAGTGCCAAAGAAAGTACACTCATGGAATTCATTTATTATGATATTTAGCCAATGAATAATTTGTAAGAGTTAAGATAACTAAGACTAATAGCACAGAAATTTTCACTTAATTTGCTATACCAAAGACACATTTATATTTGTTGCAATAAATATATATGTATATCAAATAACAAGATCTAAAAAAAGTTTGTGGTTTCCATGGTTGGTCTCACTATTCCCATCATTTAGCCATACATCAAGTATAAAAAAAATCTCAAAATATGCTTTCATGCAATAAAACTTCAGTATCTTATAATCTTCTGCTTTCTAGAAAATATGTCTATACAGTGGATTTTATGTAGCAAAATGAAACGAGCTATGAAGAATATTACAGAAATTCTCTGAAGTGAGTACTGGATGTGATCATGTATGTATACACACACACTGTCTGAATACTTCATTCATCTTATGTGTAAAACAAATATATAACTCAAGTGAGAACATTTTATTCAAACTTTGAACTACTTTCAATGCATCATTAAATTTGAGTATTACTATTAAAATAACAATAAAAACAATCATCATTCATGAAGCGATTCTATGAGTGAAGGGCTTTTTTAAGCACTTTACATACATGTCTCACTTAATCCTCATAAATCATTTCCATTCTATAGACAAAGACAGTAAGTTTCAGAAAGGTTAAATAACTTGCTTATGATGGCAGTGCAGGCATCAAACTCCTGATGCCAGACTTCCGCCCCAGAGAAAATCCTGTGTTTTTAAACAGTATTCTATATAGCTAAGAATTAATGAATAAACCTGTAGTGTGTGAATATTTAAACACTCACTTAGTAACATATTTTATTTAAAACATTAGATATTAGCTAGTAAAGATATAAAATCTGTCGTATCCAATAATCCGCATGCATGAATTCAAGGTCACTGTTTTGTCTGAACTGAAAGATGGCAAAGCATATTAGGCAAAACAGGTCTGTGTCCTGGAACGCACAGTGAGCTGGTTTACTAGCTAGCGCAATGAAGTAATAAAATTAAATAAGAATCCTAAATACTAGGAAGAATAAAACATTTTGACATAATTTACACATAATTAGTATCCTGAGGCAAATTATTAAAACATTTTATTAAAATTAAGTTCATAAAGTGAACAGTTACTAAAGAAAGGTACAATTTCAAAATATTTCTGTATAAATATAGATAAAATATTCCATATTGAAAATTTTTCACACATCACTAAGAATTTTCAAAAATAGGAGGCGGAGTCAAGATGGCGGCGTAGGCAGACTCTGAACTCACC